GGATGCAGCACCCTGGCAGTGCCCAGGCTGGACAGGCTCGAGCGTCAGCCTGGGCTATGTCTGCTCCACTGCGTCACCCACAGTGTTGGTACCCCTAGTCCTGGTGTCTGGATGGAGGTAGGGGTATCCTAGCTCTGCCCATGGTGCTCAGGGCCACTGGGGTCCTGCCTGTGGCTTGCTGGAGGTGGGGAGAGCTGCCAACATGGCACGGGGAACCGCAACCCTGGCTGGACCCCCAGACCCCTGGCTTCTGTAAGCTCCCTCCACCCAGGCACATCCCGGGCTCTGCGGGGTACCAATGCTGAGGGACAGGGCCAGGAGCGCCTGGGGTCACCCCAGTCCCGTGGGGACCGGGATGGCTGGTCCTGGGGTCGGCTCTGCCTCCGGAGCCTCTTACCTGCCCTGGCCCAGTGCAGCCCGGTCTGTCCGGGCTGGGACCAGTTGGCACCCTGCACGCCCCAGCCATGCTGTGTGGTGTTGATGTGCTTACGCAGTGTGGGTTACTCCAGTCTAGACAAGCCCTGACCAAAAATACCTTCCCTGTGCGGAGGGAACTCCCTCGCCACACGCTGCTTTTCTGTTTTCCTTTGAGAGCTTTCCTCCTGCGCGCCCTTCCCTGGTCCCCGGGCAGGGTCCTTCCCCTGTCCCAGCCCTCCAGGCCCATTGTTTAATGTCTCATGGTGTAAAACAAAGCTGGTGGGAAGTGCCAGGGCAGGGTGGCTCTGCAAACAAAGGTCGTAAAGCAGCAGCAGCTCTTGGAGTCGGGGGCAGCGATGCACAGCGCAGGGTTGGGTTGGTGTCTGTCTGGGTTTCCTCTGGCCGGGCTGCGGTGCCCAGCAGCTGCCCCGGTTCCTGGCATTGCCTCGACAGCTCCTCTGCACAGCCAGGAACGTGCTGCTCCCTTCCCTTGAGATCTGATTTCGCCCCTTGGATGCATCTCTGGAAAAACCAGCTGGGCCACAATGCTGCAGTGTGCGGCTCCGAAGGGCAGGGCAGCCTGGTGCGCGGCGGGGAGCGCGGCTGCTCCTTCGCCAGGCGGACGCAGCTCCCTGCCTGTTCACAGCCGTGCCCCCATGCGGGACCGGGACTGAGACCTGACCAAATTCATGGCATGCCAAGCCATGAGTCACCTGCAGTTGG